ATAAGTATAAACCTCTTAGATTATCTATTTATAATAGATATTAATACCTTAAGTTTATACTTTATTAAGGGGATTTATAATATTAACTATTATATTAGTATTATTAGTAAAGAAGATAATTAAAGTATTTAGTAGTTAGTTAAAAAGCTATTTAGTATAATAATAAATCTACTTTATAGTAATTACTACTAGTATAAGGTTAGTAAATTTTACCTTAGTAAAGCTTAAAGTAATAAAGGTCTATTACTTAGACTTCTAGGCTACTAGTAAGCTAGTAAAGTAGATAATATAACTACTTATAGATACTTATAATAGGTAATTATTAGTAAAAGAAGTATTTACTATAGTATAAAGGCTAACGTTAGTAAAGAGGTTAAGTCTACTAAATAAGATACTATAATAAGTAGTGCCTTTAAGGTAGTAAAAAAAGTACTTAATAGCTGCCTAATAGGTAGGTAATAGGCTAATATTAGCCTAAGAGAGCTTACTAACTACAAAAGTAATATTTAGGTATATACTAGTAGCTAACTAGTTAAGGTAGCTAGTCTATTTAATATAGAGTTATTAGTTAGTGTTAGTATAGTTATTCTTGTTCTAAGTAATAAAAAAGTCTTTATTAATAAATAATAAGGTTTTAACTAGCTAAAGGTTAATATAACTAAAGTAATAAAGTATACCCTTAGTATACTTATATTAATTAATATAAATCTTATTAGTAGTAGAATACTAAATCTAGAAGCTAAGAAACTAAGAGGCCTTACTAAGGTCTTTTAGTAGGTAAACCTTAGTAAGTATATTATATACCTTCTTAGTTATCTTAGTAGTAAGTGTAGCTACTATATTATTATTAATATATATTAAGGTATAGGTATTAAGGTCCTTGTTATAGAAGAGGTAGATTTTCTTTTTAACTAGCTAAAAGCTAATGTTCTCTATTTTACTCTTAATAAGTAAAAACTACTATAGTAGTAACTTATATAGACTATAGAAGGCCTTTTAAAGTAACTAGACCTTATTATTAGTAGTAGTATAACTAGTTAGTTATTTAATATAGACGTTAGTACTAGTAAAAATAAAAGTAGTAAAAAAGGCAGTATTAAAGTTATATATCTTATACTTTAATCTATAAAGAGTAATAATAGTAAAAAAGAGGTAAATAGTAGTAGTAGTAGCTATAGCTATATATACTTTTTATAATAATTAATTACTTTACTTAAAGTTACTATAGACTACCTATTAGGCCTTAAAGTATATAATTTTATTATTTATATTAGTTTTAATATTAAATACCTATTTACCTAGTAGTACTTTAGCTTTAGTTAAGAGGTTAATAAAGGTATATACCTTCTTATTATTAAACTACTAGATCTTAGTATTATAGGCCTATTTCTAATAGTACTAGTGTAGGCCTTTTTTTACCTTCTTAAAGGTAGTAAGTATATTATAACTAGTAGGTAGTACCTTTAATAATATAGTTACTATAAAGGTACTAATAAAGTAACTTTAACTATCTTAGTATACTTAAATATTAGCTAAGAAATATACCTTTTTTTTATAGTTTTAAATGCCTACTATCTTATAATAGTAGCTAGGTAGCTTTACTATACTAGTATAATATAAGCAACTAGTAGTAATATACTTAGTAGTAGATATAGTAGTAAAGGCTTTAATAATAAAGTCTAGCTTATTTTCCTTTATAACTAAAGGAAAGTAGTTAGCCTTTTATTAAATAACCTTATAAAACTTATTATTAGTAAAAGTATTATCTTATTTATTTAGTTATTTATTTATAGGCTATTTATTAGTAAGTAATAAGGTAAGTATAGTAGTGTTCTCTAGAGGTAAAGTTATATAGGTAGTATTATTAATATATTTACTATTAATAGTACTACTATTAGTTTAGTTAGCTTACTAGTTTTATAGGGTCTTAGTAACTAGTAAGTAAAAATTAAGGACTTAGCTAGGAAACTAAATCTAGAGGTTAGGCTTATTAAAAAGCACCTTATAGTTAGTATTTACTAGGATATTTATATTAGTAATAAGGTAAAAAATAGTCTTCTTTTTCTCTTTATAAAAATAAATATTATAGTAATAAATAACTTACTTCTAATTAAGGATATAGATATAATAAATATAACTATATAAAGAGCTATAACTAATAAAGTAACCTTTTATTATATAGGGCTTTATTTTTATAGAACAAGGGGGGCACTTACTACCCTTCTTATATATATATATAATATAACTAAAGGTATAAAGGTGTTTAATTTAAGGAGGTTCTTAGTTAATAGTAAGGTTAAGCTTATAGGTAATAATCTTATAAAGGCTTATTTTACCCTTAGTTAACTATAGTAAAAGGTTAAGGATCTACACTATAGTGTTAAGCGTATAGTCCTAGAGATCCTCTAGTAGGCTATTATTAATAAGTAGAGTATAGGTAGCCTTTATAAAGGTATAGCTAGTATATTTAATTACACTATTTATTAATAAAGTATAAGTAGTAGTTAGGTAAAGTTAAGTGCCTTTAAAGAAAAGGTTATAAAGCACTTTCTTAAGCTTAGGCGTATTATTATATATTTAACTTTTAATTAAGAGACCTATTATATTAGTAAATATAGTACTAAACTTCTTAATAGTATTAAGAATAACCTTATAGTAATAGGCTTTTAATAAAGTAAGCTAGTAATAACTACTATAATAGTTAAAAAAGTAAAAAGTATATTATATACTAAGTTTAAAAAGAGGTTTAACCTTAATAAGGTCTAGATAGATTTCTTTACTTATAAGGGTAAAAGACAATAGAGTATTATAGCTAATAAGCTTTATAGATTTAGCTAAGTAGTAGGCCTTATAGTAAAAGTTATTAATCTTTACCTATATAAATTATATACCTACTTAATAGTAGGCCTTAATAACCTATAATAAATAGGCGTAAATAAGTTAATAATATATTATCTTAAGGGTTACTTAGTACTTACTTTTAACTATAGCTAAGCTAAAGGTAGTTACTATAAGTATAGTTAGGCTATTAGTTATATAAAGAATATAGATATTAAAGATTTATTTAATAGTAACTAAATAGGCCTTAGATTTAGTATTAATAATATAAGTAGTAGTATAGTTATATTTAATACTTACTTTATATAACTTACTTAGGCTAAGGAGGTTAGCTAGGCTAAGAAGGCTATACTTAATATTTTTAATAGTCTAGTTAATAGTCTAAGTTAGGTTAGCTAGATCCTTTGTTTAGAAGAAAACAGTGCTACTGCCCTCTAGATACACTTAATTACTGTTTACTATAGTAAAAGGTTAAAGGTTACTATAGACTATATAAGATATAAAGTAAGTTAATAAGTTAAATATAAAGTTAAAGTAGCCTAAATTTAGTATAATATTAAAGGTAGTAATAACCTTATTATTAATAGCTATATATACTATATAGCTAGGCTTTATAGCTAGGCTAGTAATAAAGAAGCTACTAAAAGCACTTAAGGCTTCCTTAATAAAAATAAAGGTTAATAATAAGTTAAATAATCTTTCTTTATAATTCTTATTATAAATATACTTAGTTATATAGGTAAAAAAAGTATTATAATAAAGATAATTAGTAAAAACTAGCTTTAGGTAAATAGTCTAACACTTTATAGTAAAGTAGTTTTTTTTATAATAAAGATAAAAACTACTATAGGTAATATTCTTAGTAAAAGTAGTACCCTAGTTAGTACTAGAAGAGGTTACTATTAGATTAGTAGTATTTTTATAGTATATAATAAGTCCTATTTTTTATTCTTTATCTTAAGTAAAAGTATAAATAGTCTTAATAACCTCTGCCTAGGTAAGTGTCTTATTATTATTAGTATAGTACTTATAAGTATCTAGTAGTTATACCTTAAAGTAATTAAGTATAAGAATAGCCTAATAGTAGTTAAAGTTTTTACTATAAAGGCTAGTAATATAGCTTTAGAGGTATTAAACCCTTATAAAGGCATTATAAAAGGTTTTATAGTCTTAGGTACCTCTCTTACTAAACTTATTAATTAAGGTAATAATAGTATCTTTAGATACCTTAGAGATAAACTTCTTAAGTGTTTTTATAAAAGTATATAGGTTACTATTATTAACTTAGCCTACGTTAAAGAGTTTAATAATTATAAAGTTATAAGTGCTAATAATAATACTATAAGTAGTATTATATTTATTCTCTTAATTCTTATACTTATTAGTGTTAATTACTAGTTAAAGGACTTTATAATTAATATATTTCTTAACTTTAGTAGTATAAAGTAATATATTAACTAAGACTTACTATTATAACTAGTTTAACTTCTTTTTTAACTTAAGGATAGACTATATAACTATTTAGTAGTTAACCTTATTAGCTATAATAGTAGTTAATTACTAACGTAAAAGAGAATAATATAATATATAATATAGATAAGAGTCTCCCCTAGACTATAGGTAGCCTAATAATATATTAAACTTTATATATTTCCTTTATAAGATAAGAAGTATATCTAAATTATTATATAAATTACTGCTTATTATTAGACGTCTAAGTAAAAGGGGATATAGGTAAAAGTAAAGTAAAAGTAATATTTTAAGTTTATTACTTATTATTATTATAAGGTAATATAACTATAGTAGACAGGTAGTTAGAACAGTAATATAGGCAGTAACTATAATATTTTATAGATATTACTGTTAACTATTAAAAAAGAAGGGGTAAAGGTAGCTAATTAATTAATTATAAAGAAAATTAATTAGTATTAACCTAGGCCTTATAACCTATAGGAGTAGCAAAGTGAGGCAATATCTGTTGATATTGGCGATAACTGTGATATAAAGCTAACTAGGAGTGGGCTGCCTGCAGTGGGCAGAGGCTGGCCGAGAAGGAGGTGGAGGTGGGTCACGTGACCCATGGGCTCCTCCACCAACAGAGAGAGAGACAGAGAGAGATTCTAGCACAAGTGCCTTCACTTCTTGTGATATGAGTTCTGAAGTGGCAACCATGGGCCTTATAGTCCTGTTGAACAAGACAAGTTCCAAGACCTTGCGTTGCTGCCAGCAGGGCTGCTCTTCACCGTTCTCTAGTTTCCTCACGTCGAGTTTCTGGATTTCAGTCTCCTCGGCTGGTGGTTTGTCAGCTGGACTTTCCTTGGCCAGAGCTCCGTTTTAGGGTTCGGACCGAGCAAGGCACGAACCAAGACGAAGATTTCTTGGTATTTATAACTTAGCAAACGTTGTGGCCACATATTTGCTTTGAAACCTGCTAGACTGAAGGGTGGATCGGAAGTATCAGTCGGGTCAAGTTTCCAGAAGGACAGATGGAGCTCAGTCACCCACTTGTTCGAGGCTGACACTGCACTATCAAAAAAGTATTTCTGATATCGGGCATTGCGCCCGAAAAAAGGACCTATCTCCCTTGCTTCAGACGAGGTGGGGTAGCAGATTAGTGCTGTTTTTGGATTGGTCTGGAAGAACTGCAAAAGTCTCTTGGCACTTCCTTTGTTGCGTTTGCCTTGAAGGTGATCGATGGGTTTGTTGGTATTATCGTATACTTGTTGGAGTGTAGGCTCCGAACTACGAGTCTTCGTCTTTGGCACATCAGCAATCATCCCTATTGTGTCCTTGTAGTTATCCTTTACTCCTAAATGGGCACGCTTGATTGCGTAGCCAATCACACATTTACCAAAGTGGCAGGATGTGGCATCAGCCTCGTTGATCTTTGTTTCGCAAGACTCAGGGGTGCAGAACTCTTTGTTGCAAGATTCATTCAAGCAGAACTTTCTCTTGTTGAATTCGTCCTAATAGAACTTTCTATTCTCATTTAGGCTCACGTCTGGCGGCGAAATGCCGAAAAATTCTAGTTCATCACCAAGCCAGTCGTCAGGAATCTCTGTGATGACTTCCTCGCTGATGTAGTTGCCAAATTGCACCCTTTGCTCCATGATTAGGTCCTCCTTGTTGGAGAATTCTTCTGCATTGAAAATGTGACTCGGCCATTCGCCGTCGAGGTTCTGCAATTTATCGACATCTGCAAACAATTGCGTCGTCAACTTGGCGCTCAGCAGTGAACAAAGTGAGCTCTTGGAGCGTGTGCTGGCAGCCATCGGTCGAGGAGTTGAATATTTCCATAGAATATATATAGAGTATTTCGAAAGTCTTAGACCACTAGGAATCATGCATCGCTCCCCTGTCGTAGAGAATAGGGTCCTGGGTTGAGTCTATCTGCCCCACTAGAAGTCCGTTGGGTGAGGATGCATTAAGTAGAACCGACTTCGCGCAAGCGTACGTTTCTTCAGGTTCTCTTATATTAATACCTGTCTCCTGGGATGAGAGGGTGATTGCTAGCGCGAACTGAAGGGTAAAGTAATCCCTGTCTGAGTGATGCTTTTGGCACTCTTTGGTTTTTGCCCACGCGACCCGCTCGTTCTGTATCGTGATATCGTTGAAGATCTGGTGCTCCTCTGTGTGAGAGAGAACTGTGTCTTCGACGTCGAGGAAAAATCCCGTCTCCGAGACGCTGCGATATGTTGCGACCATCCATGTTCTGGAGGGCTTTTTCTGAACAGTGAATCTTTTGATGATAGCTCGCTGGAATTATTAACTTGTGACGTGGAAAAATGTCTCTTTGATTTTTCCTCAGGGTCGAAGTCCAGTTCAGGTTTCATTCTAAGCTTCGCTGCCGACCGGAGGGCCCACCAGATGAGGGCATGGTCCACGAAGCAGAACTTGTTGAGCGTCTCGCTTCTGGATAGGCTACTTCTGGAACAAGGGGACATATATAGGCCGTTCTTCTTAGCTTTGTCAAGTTAATTCAACCAATTTTCAACAATACAGTTAAAATCATAAGTGACGTTTGGCATATGTCCATACCCAGCCGACTAAAGAAGTTCTACGACTTTGACGATCTGGAGGGCAGTATCGGCGCGAAGGTCGTGAGATAGTTGGTCGTTGGCCCTCGGTGATGTTGTCACTTCACCACTGACCCAGTGTTGGGGAGTCTCAACATGTTTATCTCCTTGATCGGTAGAAGCACTCTCCTTTTTCTGGTGAAGATTTGTTGCCCATTTACCAAATAACCATCTGGCATGACCCTGGCATACACGCCAGATACGCCAATAGCTTTCGCAGCCGTTGCTTTTGTAGAAACAATCTGGTAGTTTCAGTAAAAAGTCGCATTTGCACCCTGCTGATAGTTCCCTATCAATTATCTCCTCGGTCTGTTTCATAGCCAGGAGAAGAAATCGAAAGGCATGGCTGGCTTCCTTTAGCTGTAGCATCGGGCTCTTCGGGGTTATCGAGTGAGCTTCTGGACTTACAAGCTTGCTTTGGTTACAACCCGATGACCAGAAAGATCTCCGCAGGTGAGCGCAATAGGAGGGGGCTGATCTGTAGCTGCATTGTCGGGGGTAACGGGGATGCTGCAAACAGACAAGATGTGTTCCAAGCTTCTCCATAGCATGGAGTTCAGGCCTGAGTCCTTGGTGAGATTTGGAACCTTGAATGGCTGTGAGAGAGTCTTCTTCGCTTCAAAAGGTCTTTCTTCAAGACGGGGGATGGCAGTTTGGTAGGATCCTGATCCGAAGGAAACATTTTCAGGGTATAAGCGAAGGTGATCTCCAGATTTTAATCTTCCAGAGCCTTTTCCCAAGAAGCTTCTTCCACAGTAACCTCCCAAAGACTAGCATTAAGCCGCGAAGGCTGGTGAGGGCAGCCGCCTATAAAGGGCGACATAAATAATCCCATGTTTTGCTCGAGACCTACTAGCTTTTGGTGTGGCCACCATGAAACCATGCAGTTAGGTTTGTGACCGTGAGAAGGCTCTTCTGCTGTTGACGGATTATCGTCTACCTCATATTGGGATTCGGAATCGTCATCTGATCCACTTTTACCTAGAGGATGGTTGGCTAATTCATCTTGAAATTCATTGCCAGTCTCCTGGGGCTTCAGATCTTCAAACCCGTTATTTTTCTTAGTGAAGTCCAGATTCAGAAGAAACATATCGACGCGAAAGCGAAACCTCGGAGGACCCTTTTGTTTATCGTACTTGTCGAGGTCGAACGTATATATCTGGTATACTATATTCTTACCGACAAGGTACTGGGTACTAACAACACAGTTCGGAGCTCTGAATTTGAAGCGTGGCCATCGATGGTGGACAAACGACAATTTGGGTACCTTGTCGCCATGGATCTCGGCATCTTCAAACCATAGACGAGACCCATCATCGGGATCAACGGACGCAGAGGTGAGATGTTGCAATCGCTCCAGCGCTCTATATGCAAAAGTCCCATGAGCACCCTCGGCAAGTTGAGCACATATGAAGCCCGGCGGGTTACCTGGAGTTTCCCCAAAGTAGCGGGTGATCTGCATGAGGTTGCCGTAAGCGTTTGCAGTGGCGGTAACTCCTTCGTGTCCAAAAGCCTGCTGTGGGCCAGTTGACTTGCGTTTGCCATCGTAATTACCACCTCAGTTACATGCCCAGGTGTTTTGCAATTTAGTCCTTATCAGTCATTCTGGCTAGCGATTATATTATTGTATGTAGCCCCCGGCGCGTCTGCAAGAGGCAAACCGCAGTATTACTTGCTGTGGTAGTCCAGGCGCCACGTAATAGAAGAGGCTCCTCAGATGCATACCTGTCATGAACTTGGAAACGAAAACGGAAACTTGAGACAGACAGGACAAATACTGATATTTGGTTCGCGCTTACCAATCCAGTGAGTGGACGTTATGGCAATCATCAAACAAGAAAAGAAAAGAAAGGAGCTCCTAGAAAAATGCCTCAAAGCAGCACTTGCATTACTGTTTTGCCACGACATTGTGGTTCTGCCCTAAAATCAAGTACGCAAAGCATGCTGCGCATACATATGCAAGACTAGATACTCCTGGCTATCTTAGATTGGCTCTTCGGGAAACTCGTTTCAGTAACCCGCGGACTGCAACGGCCTGCTTTTGGGAGGGAAATTGCGTGTTGTCTATAGTTCTGTGGAAAACTTCTCACCGGTTGCATATTGTACGGCCTGACCGAGTTCTCGATACTGGCACAGATTAGTTGACTGTTGATCACCCCTGCCGCCCATATCCTACACGCTGCCTGTTTCTTAACAGAAATAGCTGCATGCATTATGCCTATTTCCCCTCTCTCTTTGACTCTTTAGGCCTTTCCACTAGCCGGTCCTTGATGCGTTGGTTATACCAGTATCCGTACGGCAATAGCATTCAAATATCTCAACTCAGGTTTGGATGAATTCTAACACGATGGAGTCTTTCAAATGGGGAGCCGAAACAACTGCTCAAATAATTCAGACCAACTGGAGGGCGTCAATTGGCTGCATAAGACACTTTTGTGACCACTTTGGCCCGATTCCTGCCTTCTAGCCATCACAACATCTGATGGACTGGTAGTGAAGGCGGGCTTGAAGTGATATGATCGATCAAGCCTCCGTAATGGTACCTTGAGATTGATACCCGTTCCGGCGCCAGGCCTTCGGTCTGTGAGACTGTAGTCCAATAGATACTTTCAATGGCATTTTCAGAGCCTTCCAATAAAAGAATATCTGCAACTGTGCGGTCAGCCTAAGCCTTGGACAACAAACGCGCTGGTCACCGAGGCAACAAGCTGATGTCATGCTAAGCATGTCACGGGATCGTTGTTACGCGCGGTGAAGGAGAATCGTGAGCTACAAATACTAGCTCATGGCGCAATGTTTATGCAAGAGCCCCCCGTCTATCAGAGCCATGTAACCCAGTGTCCCATATTGGATATCATACCATCTCCGTTCCTTTTATGACTGTCCAATTGTCGTATGCGTATTCCCTACGCAACAATTCCGTTGCGCCGCTTACGCGAAATAACTCTTCCACAAAACACCCTCCAAATCCTCCAGCTGCTCCGGTGTAAAGTACTACGAAGAATGTCAGTTTCTAGCAAATATTGAGAAGAGGAGTTTTATAGTGGGAAACACGGAAGCGTAAGGTGAGAGCGGGGGGTAATGGCAATGTACCTTTTGATCAACGCTCCAACTGTCTTGTCTTGTCTTTTTGAAGTCGGAAAGAATAGTCTTGGTGGCTTTGCCAACCACGCCGGGGTCGCTAGCAGCGCGCGTGGCCAAGATCTGGAGGACCTCGGGCATCCAAGACGGAGGGGGTGTGGCGTAGGGGAATGCCTCAATGAGGGCACCCAAGCCCAGGACGGCAGCATGACGACGTACGATCTGCTTGTTTGTGTCTATGGGCGTTTCGGTGCCGGGGAGCTTCCGCTTGGGCATTGGGTTGAGGCGGAGACTGTCTTCAAAGCGTTTTTTGAGAGTCTGAATCATAGGGTCACGGATCCGCTTTGGCGAGCATCGAATCATGCCGGCCAAGGTAGCCGACGCGCAAGACCGAACCTCGAGCTGCGTGTCCGCCAGCATGTCGCTGACGGCATTGAATAAGGTCTCCCGTTGCTTCTTCTCGATGAGGAAAAGACGACGGAAGTAGATGACCTGCATATTGACCATGGATCGCAGACGTTGGTGCCAGCTCGTGGCGGACTTGCCAATACGGACCAGAGCGTCGATAAAGAGGCCGTCTTCGCCAATGCGGAATGGAATGTTGGGCAGATGGCGATAGACGTGATAGGCGAGGCGCATCAACTCTGGGTCTTCCTTGACATCCATCATGTGGAGCAGTTGTGCCATGAAGGGATCGGGGAAGAACGGCATCAGCTGCGTGCACTCCTGGGACGACAGTGTGCTGTCGAGCCAAGTCAAGACAGTCTTGGAGCCACTTGTGTAAGAGGAAGGCGTTTGCTGACCTGGAGTGCGCTCATGGCGCCACTTCTCCAGACGGTCAAAGACTTCAAGCACCGTGTCCGAGAACTCCTTGGTAGGTTCGTAAGGACGAATACCGAGAGAAGATGCAGACTTGTTGGCATCCAAAAGCTTGTCAACGTTCTCAAAGGATTCATGGTAGCGTGTGCGGTAAATGGTGGCAATGACACGGCCCATTGCCTCTCTGACGGTCTTGTATGGGTGGTCAATGTGCGAGAGAAAGTCTGCGAGGATGGGCTTCTCGTGGCGGAAGTGCCAACCCGAATCGGTGATGATGAATTCCAACACCTGAACCTTGCTTGACTCCTTAAAAGCGGCGTTGGAGGACATGTCGAGCCTGAAGGCACTCAGAGTATTGACCAGCTCGTGGGACCGGCGAGGGTCCTTGGGGTCAA